AAGGCAAAAACATAGGTTTACTTAAAAATATCAAAATTTGTGTTCCGAAATCTTACGGGTTTGGAACAATATGAGGGTGAGTAAAGGTTGACAGAATTTTTTGTTTTTGAGTGAACTATGTTTATGCTTTTTTCTATAGTACATTTGTTTTATTAGCAACAGGTCATGCTTAAGAATGTGCATTCATAATGAATGACTTTAAGACTAAATCAAATTGACGTGTATTTGTTGTTTGTTGTGGTATTCTGTAGTTTCATAATAGTTGTAATAACAAAAGACATTGCTTATGTCAGAAAGCTCAACGAAGAATAAAACTATGCCACCTACTGGTTGAACATGGTAAATATACAAGTGCTAGACCAGGGCTGTCCAAACTCGGTCCTGGAGGGCCGGTGTCCTGCAGAGTTTAGCTCCAACTTGCCTCAACACACCTGCTGGAAGTTTCTATGCCTAGTAAGAGCTTGATTAGCTGGTTCCGGTGTGTTTAATTAGGGTTGTAGCTAAACTCTGCAGGGCACCGGCCCTCCAGGACCGAGTTTGGACAGCCCTGTGCTAGACACTTGTCATGCCACAAGAAGTCACTATTAGAGAAAATATTGAAAACTGTACAATTTGTACAGTTTCACCATTTGTTCTGTATAAGAGTTTAAGAAAATAGTTTGTTTCTTGACATAAATGTAATGCTTTACATTATTGCATATTTTAAATTATATGTAAATATTTTGTTTTAAATAGTTGTCAGTGACAGATGTCATATCAATGATTATATGGATAGATAAGAAAATAATCAAGGAACTCATTAATGTCTGCGTTTACAAATATAAAATTCTTTTATTTTTATTAAATTCATGGTGTGAATTACTTGCTGTTGATGATGTAATAAAACAAAAAAAGGATAATGGTTATAATAGGGGTTAGCAGCTGTTTCTTTGAGGAAAAAAATGAATAAATAATGAATTGTGGAAAGTCAAAAACTTTTACAACATTTGGTCACTGGGTCCTGTTATAAATCGTTTCGAAATTCTTTATCCAAATGCAGTGCATCTTATGCATAATGTTGCCAATATGTTCATGTTTTCAAACACAGGAGACAAGTCTTACACTTCATTGTAAAGTAAGATGCAGGCTTGTTAATCAAACTATTCAAGCTATCAGTTACCTAAATCTTACAATTATTTTCAAAACTTGGTTGAATGAAGGGTCAAAGGTCAAAGATGTTCATGTTTCATTACATTCACGTAACCTGTTGATGCTTGCACACACACACATATGTACACACACAAGACAAGCACGCCCGGCTTTCCCCCTTGTGAGTTGCCCCTCTCTCAGTGCCAGAACACTCCCAACCCATTCCCAACTAATCCCATGAGCGTACCTGGCACATCGCTGGCGATACCGGCTCTCAGTGCTACTGCGCTCCGGCACTGGACTGGGATTCTGTTAATCTGGTCCTGCAGCCATAGAGCTACAGGAATAAAGCAGGAGGGGTGAACGACAGCGAGCTCTATAGTTCCCTGCTAGAATATAAATCAGTTCTAATGAAGTCACTTCCTGTGAAGCAGCTGTAGATTAAACATGCTGGGTTACAATGCCAGAATTTCAGACAAGAAGAAAAAGAAGAAGAACAACAATAATAATAAGTAGTAGTAGTATTGTTGTTATAAATATTAATACATGTGTATATTAATACAATTATTACAAAATATATACTATATAATATATGCAAAATGTTACTAGTTGTAATTATAACATTATTATAGGGTAAGCAATATTACGGTAACACTTTATTTTAAGGACCAATTCTCATTTAACTAGCATATTGGTTGTTTATTAGTACTTATAAAGCACATATTAATGTTTTATTCTGCATGACCATATTTTAGATCCTTTAATCCAACCCCCTAACAACTACCTTACTGGCTATTACGCAGCAAATTAAGAGTTTATTGAGGCAAAAGTCATAGTTAATAGTGAGAATTGGTCTCTAAACTAAAGTGACCAATATTACTTATATTGCTGAATAATAGTTATTTGTATTAGTACTCACCCTGTATAATAATTATAATTACCGCTATAAATGTAATATAATATTAATAATAATAATATTACCACCATCATCATCATCATGACACAGATATATTAAATAGCAATCCACTACATACTCAATTGTCAGAATGTAATTCTGAACCTGCGGTAGTATGTCCAGGCAGTGAATGTCACACACCTTGGTAGGCTACTTCCACTTAGAACTGTCCAATTTGTAACTAAAGGGGACCAAAGCGTGTCCAAATGTTTTAGACATTTAAAAA